CCCTAGCAAAATCGGGGTAAAGCAGCTGCTCTATTCATCGCCCCTTTAAAGAAATTAAATGAAACAAAACAAAAAACAACAACAACAACAAATCCACCTAAACAACCTTAAATCAAAACAAAGAAGAAAGGAAAAAAGGAACAGAAAAAAGACAACACCAACAACAAACACTATAAAAAATAAGAAGCTAAAAAAACCCAACCACAACCCAGATAGCAAAAGAAACAAGAACAAAGGTGAAGAAGCAAGCTAAGAGCAGACGACACAGACAGAATGTAACTGGTTAACGCCAAACACTCGTGATACAGGCAAGTTACTAGACGTGAGCTGATGACACTGGTGCACAGAAGCAAGCATGTTGATTACTTCACAGCTAGACCTTCTTCATTCTCTTGACTTACAGTGTGGTTTATGGTTCATCGAGGTCTCCAGGAATCTGAAGTTTGGTAATTAATTGTCCAACTAATTAACTCTCTCACTCTAGTGCACCACAAAGCATCATAATGTGCTCTGTGGTTGGAGTGTTTGAGAGAAATGTGTGGTAGGTCGAGTGTTTGATTATGAAGGGGTGTTTGATTCAGTAGATAAGTTTAATAAAGTAGGAGTGTTTGGTAGAAATGGTTGGTGGAATTATTTGGAGGAAGTTTTTGATAGGAGTGTTTGGTAGGAGTGTTTGGTAAAAGTGCTTAGTGGAAGTGTTCGGTACAAGTGTTGGGCAGGAGTGTTTCTTAAAAGCGTTTAATAGTATCGTTCGGTATGACTGTTTGGTGTCTGTATGTGATGGAATTAAAATACTGTTTAGGGAAAATTTCTCAATATTTGAGCTATCTATAAATAATCAGTAAGGTTCCCGAAAATCCTCACTGGACAAATAAAAAGTCTTCGCTTTCGCGTGCTCTGTACTTTTCTTTAGACAACAAGAATCTTAAACCACAATGCAATTCGAGCTTGAACCACTAGCTGTCAATTATTATAAAGGCCACAAAATTAAAGGTTACGACAAGAAGGACTGAGACACGAAGTGACGAAGTCACTAGTCTGACCAGCACAAGACTTCCTGTCCGCCAGCTGCAGCTGCCCGGGCGGGCACAGGCACTCGTAGCTGCCCCAGGTGTTGCGACATCGGTAGGAGCAGGGGGAGGGGCGGGAACGGCACTCGTTAACGTCTGAAATAATGAGAGAGGTGGAACTATGTGGTCAGTGATTGGTGGGTTTAGGGGAAAATAGGAGGGGGCGGGGAAAGGGGAGAAGAAAGGAGGGAGATACAGTGGGAGGGGCGGGGCCAGGACTCGTAAACGTCTGAAATATTGAGAGAGGCGCGACTCTGTGGTCAGTGATTGATAGGTTTGGGGAGAGGAGGAGCGGGGAAAGGAGGGGGGCACTCGTTAACGTCTGAAATATTGAAAAGTGTGGGACTACGTGGTCAGTGACTGGTAGATTGAAGGAAGGGAGGAGCAAGTGGGGGGTGAGGGCAGGATGGGGGTGCAGGTGCGGGTGGGGGAAGGGGTAGGGAGGGACCTGCACTTTTTAAAGTTTGAAATATTGAGAGAGGTGGGACTAAGTGGTCAGTGATTTGTAGATTGAAGGGAGGGAGGAGCAAGCGGGAGACGAGGGAAGGGGTAGGGGGAGATGCGAGAACGGCACTTGTTAACGTCTGAAATAAGGAAAGGGGTGGGACTATGTGGTCAGTGACTGGTAGACTGAAGGGAAGATGAGGAGGCGGAGAAAGGGGAGAAGAAGGGACGGTCGAGTTAGGGGGTGGGGTATGGGGAGGGGCGGGACTATATGTGGTCAGTGATCTGCAGGTCTGGATATAATAGCAGAGAAGGGGAGAGGCTAGATCCGTATGTTAACGTCTGAAATATTGAGAGAGGTGGGACTACGTGGTCAGTGATTAGCAGATTTGGGGGAGGAAGGAGCAAATGGCGGATGAGGGCAGGGGTAGGGGCGGGAACGGCAATCGTTAACGTCTGAAATAATTAAAAGGGTGGGACTACTAGTTCAGTGATTGGTAGATTGAAGGGAAGAGGAGGGATGGAGAAAGGGGGGAAGAAGGGAGGGATGGAGGAAGGGGAGAAGACGGGAGGGTGGAGTCAGGGGGTGGGGTTTGGGGAGGGGCAAGACTATAATATGCGGTCAGCGATCTGCAGGGAATAGGAGGAGGAGGAGGGGCGGTACCGGCGCTTATTAACGTCTGAAATAGTTAAAAGAGATGGGACTACGTAGTCAGTGATTGGCTGGTTTAGGGGAGGGAGGAGCAAGTGGCGGATGA